ATATTTTCTTTTTTTGTTTGAAGAAATTTCATCAATTTTTGTTACAATAGTAATAATAAAGCAAAATTAAAAATAATCGACACTGAAGTGTTTATTTATTAAATTAACAAATAAACTAACTTGAAAAACGAAATTACAAAAAAAAAAGCACACAGAGAATTTCAGATAAATTACGGCAGATGAAAAAAGTGTCACTTAAGCCATTTAGATTGAACTATTTTTAATCCGAATAATTTAATATTCAGCTCATGTAAACTGAGATTGAATTAATGCGGGCATTATAGTTTTTTTTTTTTAAAAAATGCTAATTGAAAATATTTGAATTAAAGCTATTTGACACCGGAGCGATTTGATCAATTTGATCTTTCGAATGTAGATTTTTTCATTTTTAGCATGATAGTATATCATATGCTTAATCAATGTAAATCATTTCGGATATATAAATATATAAAAATAATTGAATAATTTTATTTCGGTAAATCATTTTACTTAATTTTAACATTTTTTTTTATGCTATGATTTTGAATGAAAAATTATTAAGTTTTAAATTTTAAATAAAAGTGTAAGAAAAATACAAACAACATTGTTCTTTTTTTTTTGCTCTAACCAATTTCCATTGTGTTGTGATGAAATTTAGTCCTTGACATGGACCCAAATTACAATTTCGTTGTGTTTCCATCGTTTCATTATTGCATGCTTCAGCTGGCAGTAATTTACCCTCTTCACCTTCTTTTGCACTTCGACATGTTACCGAACGATACTGGAATGCATCACCACATTTTTCCGAGCATGCACTCCACGGTCCTGCTTGCCATTCCGGACACGAAAATCTAATTTTTTACAAAATAGTTTAACTTTTTTCGTTATATTTCATTTCTTTTTTTTTCACTTTATGCATAATTTGTGTTTGTGTATGTGTATGTATGGTGTGTGTTTGTGTGTGTATGTGTGTATATGTGTGTATGTGTATATTTGTGTGTATATATGTATGTGTGTGTATATGTGTATGTGTATGTGTATGTGTGTGTATGTGTGAATATGTGTGTGTATATGTGTGTGTGTGTGTGTGTCTGTGTGTGTGTGTGTGTGTGTGTGTCTGTGTGTGTGTGTGTGTGACATTTTATTTTTTAATTTCCAGTTTGATGAATATATTAAAGGAATTATATGTATATAAAGTATATTAGGTTAAAATGTAAATGAAAAGTTTATAATTTTTAATTATTTACGATTTAATTATTACCTATTACAAGGTCGTTGTACCGTTGGACGTTCCGTACTACAATTATCATCATCAATGGTGATCCGTTTACCATCCAGAAATATCTGATGACAATAAATGACACGATATTGAGTACCACTTTCTCCACATGATGCACTGCATGGCTCCCATTCTCCTTTATACCATCTAAAATATCGGAAAAAAAAAGTATTGTATAAATTGTTTCGTAATTTTTTGTTTTTTGAAATGTTTGTTTACTGAATTAACAAATCGACTAGAAAACAAAAAATTAATAAATAAACTTAAAAAAAAATAAACTTACAAAAAAGAAATTCAATAATTGCTATTTTTTAAAAAATGAACATGCAAGAAAAGTTTAATTATCGCTATTATAAATTTATTTAAAAGACTTGCAAATGTAATTGCATTTGAGATATATGATTGTAATGTTAATTGCTAATAATATTATGCTAGTAAATTGAATAATCACGACCATTATCATTATTGAATTATCATTATCGTTATGAATAGTACCATCGTTCTGTGTTATTCCATGTAACTTTCTTTCACTGATATTATTGAAATTTTCATATGATTTGATTATATTTTAAAAATTATTAAAATAATATAAGAAAAGATAAAAGAAAGGAAGGAATTCTTACTCTGCTTCACAATTAATTGTTTCACAAGCTTTCTCAGAAATGGGTTTGGTGACATTATGTTCGTCGCAAATGTCATCTGATACACGTTGTCCGGATGTATTCTCAATGCAGTATGGTGTACGAGTTTGAATACCTGTAAAATCAAACTATATATTATGGTACTTTTTTTCTTTCTGGCAAAAAATAAATCAGGAAAATATTTTGCAAAAATAGTTAAAGTATAAACGAAATATTTAATATCTATATAAATTTGGAAAAAATTTAATTTTATAAATTATCTTCAAGTAGTAGTAAAGAAATTTTGAGAAAATGAAAAAATGAAAAAAAAAAAGAAACGACGAAATATTTTACCTTTTCCACACGTGACCGAACATGATGACCATTGGTCTAATTTATAGATATATGGAATTTCGTCCTCTAATGGTACCGAAAATTCGTATTTAATAGCACCATCCTGAAAAAAAAAGAAAGTTCAATTGTAAAATTTTACAAAAATTAGATCTTAAAACTGCAGCTTAAAATAATTTTGCATACAGTAAAAATACAGTAAAATAATGCAGTAAAATCCAATTAAAGTAATTATTAGTAATAAATGTTAACAGTGTTAAGATTGATAATGTTAATTTTTAAGTGAAATGATAAATGCTAATAAATGCTGCAGTTTAGTTTCAAGATAAATAAACTTTCGCTTTCATATGATTCCATCATCAAATTTGAGCATGTTCAAATTTTTATCATATAGTACTTTAAGCTATTTCATATTGTTTATCCTTATCAGTTTAAGCTATCATCAACACTTTAATAGCTCAATTCATTTTTCTTCAATCAAAAATAGGATGAACTGTGATAAAACAGAAATATATTTTGAAATATCACGACGAAAGTTTTTCTGATGAAAATGACGGATGTTCAGTTGATAAAGTATATGATAAATGATACCAACTATCAATATATTGATAAATGAATGAAAAAGCAAACTCTATTTCCACGTTGAAAAAGCAATGCAATGATAAGTTCTTCTGTTGTCGGTCCTTTAGCGGTTAATTTTTCAAATGGATGATCTAAATTTTTGCGCGTATCATATTCGAATAATGTTCCACCAATTTCCAAATCTTTATCAGTTAATTGAATTTGGTAATTGCCATTGAGATAATAGTAATCGGTTGTATTCTTAATTGCTGAAAATTGATGAATTTATGCACATGTTCTCTGTAACGCTTTAAGATAGGAAATATCGATTAATTTTAGCAATAATACATTTACATTTATAATTTTAAACAAATTTACCAAGCGAATTAGTTGTTGAATGTAACTCCTCAACTAAAATTGATGTAGCACCAATTGGTAATCGAATAATATTATGATAACCAGGTGATAAATTTCGTTCATCAAAATATCCTTCGACAGTTTTGCATGTTGATCCATCACCACCACATTTACCACATTTATCATTTTTCATTGCTAAAGTTAGTATATATTGAAAACTATATAATTTATAAATTTAATATAGTCAGTTGAAAAAGAAATTAAATTTACAATTAATAAACAAAAAAAAAAAATTAGCAAAACCCGATCCAAGTTTGTTATCACATCCAACTGGTAAGCAAACTCCTTCCACACAAATATCATTTGTACGATGATCACATCTTGTACCATCGATTACCTCAAATTTATATTATATCATCATTAATTTTCAATAATTAATTGATAAATTCTTCATTTATTTTTTATCATCATTAATGAATTATTCGATATAGATATACCGATAATTTTTTTTCTTTCTAATTAAGTGAAAATTTCATGCAAATTTTAAAAATTACCCTCAAAATTTCATATGAAAAAAATATTGTGTATATTAGAAAAAAAAGATAGAAAAATAAAAATACACAAAAATTACTTTATCAGTACCATTTCATTAACTATACTAATTAATTAATAAATTTTTCATTTACTTATCATCATTAATTAATTAATTACTCAAGGAATCCACAATTTTATTCACTTGTTCATTAATATGCTCATAAGGTTTTTCTTTGTAATTAAATGAAATTTTTAGAAAAAAAAAAGGGAATTAACAAATAAGAATTACTTTATCAGCCCATTTATAGTAGAAATTAGCATTATCTGGTTTGCAGGTTAATTCACATTTATTCTTTCCTGGATACGGTAACCATTTATAGTAATTACCATCTAATGGTGTATCATCATATTCAGAACATTGAATAGCTCGAAAATCTTTAACATTACCAGTACACTCTTGAATATTACAGGATATGTAACGTGTTGATGGTCCAGTACATTCACCACTAAAATTTAACATTAATTTTTAATTTAATTTTTTTAATCATCAATCAATAATGATATTTTATTATATTGTGTCATAAAAAGCACTATACTGTCATACTTGCAACTTCTTCGTTCCATCTGTACTCCACCACCGCATGTTTTCGAGCATTCCTTCTCAAGTGACCACGGACCCCATGGTCCACTTTCAACACGTCCTGTTTTATCCATCGTAATCGATGTATCACCACCCTGATAAACTTGATAAGCTTGTCGTCGATTCCTTAGTAGTGCTGGATCAGCTTCCAATGGTGAAGCCGGATATAAACTTATTTGATCATTTTCCTGAACCAGAAACGAAAAAGAAATGATAATTAAAATTTACTGAAAAAAAAGTGTAGCAATAAAAGAGTGACCCGTTTTAATTAATTAACTGATTATTCTAAACAACTTTTATCCATTATAGCTTTATAATTTTATTATTCTAAACATCATCTTTGCAAATTATTTGTGAAGTGAGATATAATTTTATAATTATATTGAAAGCCGAAAAAAAAATTATACATATTTGTCACACATTTTTTATAACATGTTTATAAAAAACAAATTTTTCTTTTGCAGAAAATATTGCAGTGATTATTTTATATACAAAAAAAAGCAAATTAAATGCAAATTTGAAGGAAGTAAGAAATTTTTAAAATGTTTATATTTGAATTATGATTATAAAAATAAATACGAAATATAGTAAGCACCTGTTTTGTGGAAAAAAATGTGAAAATATTCCATGCTCGAATCGTTACTGGAACACAACAAATAACGGCTGCTAAATAATATAGCAGCCGCATTTTCTTTCCTGATTTTTTCGCCTGCAATATTTATTCAAAATAATATAATTGAAATATTTCCGATAAAATCTTTTCCAAATTTTATTTAGCAATAATAGATTGCATGTTTAAAACAAAATAATTGATTTGATGGGAAAAGAAACGTAAACATTAATCGTTGGCTTTGATTTAACTGATTAATGTTAAATGTTTTGATAATCGGTAAATTAGCAATCGAGAAAGAAGAAAAATGGATGGAGAAAATGAAAATATGTGCAGTGCGGAATATTTGTGGTTAGCTTATCGATATTTATTATAAGCCGGTAGAAATCGAGTTATTGAGATCAGAAAAACGGAAGAGTTAATTAAAATATAGCAATACTTTAATATGATAAAAATTTAGTTATCGATATTTATAATAAGTCATAGAAATCGATTGGGATTAGAAAAGCGGAAGAGTTAATCAAAATATAGCAACAGTTTAGTATGATAAAAATTTAGTAAGCTTTCTATTCAGATATGATAGCTTTGCTAGCAAACACTAGTCGGGAATGTTTTGCCGAGAGAATATCACATCTAAATATTAAATATAGTAAGCTTTCCATTCCATATTTTCAATTTTAAGCAATGATAATTTAAAAATTAATGAAACATTGTTGTTGGGAGAAATAAACGATTTCCTCAATTATTTATTGTTTATTTTCAATTCTTTAATTTATGTTTTTTTTTTTTTGAGAGAGAGGCAATGAAACTGGCACGGCTTGGTTACATAAAACTTTTTTATTGCATACGGAAAGCTCCATTTTCAGCTATTTCTTTTTTCAATAATTTACAAACAAAAGAAAAACATATTATATTTCAAGAGTTGCAGAAAAAAATTATATGTTTTATTTTTATTTTTTGAATAATTTCTGAAAATTTTAATTTATTTACGTTATAAACTGCACAAATATCAGTTTTAGAATAGCTCAAATAAAGAACTGTTATT